CTAGTTCGAATTAAGTGGCTACACAGCCCTTAATTCGAACTAGCTAATTCGAACTAGGCGTTAGTCCTTGTAGAATGAGGTTTACCTAGTTCGAATTAAGTTTGAAATAACGGAGCGCTAGTATAGCGCCTATCAAAGTTAATTCGAACTAACAGATGTTAGTTCGAATTAACTTTGTAGTGTAGACATACACTGAGCGAATCACCTCTCCCCAGTGGCTACACAGCCCTTAATTCGAACTAGCTAATTCGAACTAGGCGTTAGTCCTTGTAGAATGAGGTTTACCTAGTTCGAATTAAGTTTGAAATAACGGAGCGCTAGTATAGCGCCTATCAAAGTTAATTCGAACTAACAGATGTTAGTTCGAATTAACTTTGTAGTGTAGACATACACTGAGCGAATCACCTCTCCCCATGTGTTTGTCGGAAGGTGGGGATAGAGGTGCCCCCCCTCCCGTGAGCCCCACGGCCATAGGGAGAAGAATCCAACCCCACAGAAATCCTGTTTGACAGGCCCTCAGTGCCCAGCCACTCGGGACGGTCACACGACTGACTGCGCTGGAGTCGCTTGACACTCGGGACGGTCACACGACTGACTGCGCTGGAGTTGCCTGAAGACCAGTAATTTAACCCACTGCCCTGTGGTCACTAGAGGGAACCGTGGAATCTTAGAACCCCAGGGTGGGCAGAGACCTCAGGAGACATGGAGTCCAGCGCCGCCCAAGGCAGGACCAATCCCAACACAATCATCCTAGTCAGGGCTCTGTCAATCCAAGACTTACACACCTCTAGGGGTGGAGATTCCACCCCTGCCCTCGGGAACCCAGCCCAGGGCTTCACCCCCCTCCTAGGGAAATTGTTTGTCCTAATGTCCAGCCTAGATCTCCCCAACTGTAACCTGAGCCCATTGATCCTTGTTCTGCCATCTGACACCACTGAGAACAGCCTCTTTGGAACCCCCCTTCAGGAACCTGAAGGCTGCTCTCGAATCCCCCCTCACTCTTCTGCAGACTAAACAAGCTCAAATCCATCAGCTTCTCCTCAAAGGTCATGTGCTCCAGCCCCCAACTCATTTTGATTGCCCTCCGCTGGACCCTTTCCAATCCTTTCTGTAGCAGGGACCCCAGAACTGACACAATACTCCAGATATGGCCTCCCCAGAGCCGAAAAAGGGGAATAATCACTTCCCTAGATCTGCTGGCAATGCTCCTCCTTATGCAACCTAATATGCCTTTAGCCTTCTTGGATACAAGGACTCACTCTTGACTCATCTCCAGCTTCTCATCCACTGGAATCCCCAAGTCCTTTTTGGCAGAACTGCTCCTTAGCCGATCGGTCCCCAGCCTGGCTAAGGACCCTGCCTGCCCCCCCTCAGCAGAGGTGCCGGAGGAGATGAGACGCAGAGGACTGGGGACTGCACCGGTCAATGAGGAGCAACTTTGGCTACGTTCAGTCGCCCGCAACACTCCAACGGCCCTTTCTTGGGGCCAGCGGCACAGAGGGGTGGTCAGGGAATGGGGGAGGGGAGGGCAACACACGCCCCTGGCCCAGGGAGAGACAGGGAGACATTCTGCCCCTGGAGACGGGAGAGGGGGGTCGATTCCCCTTCCTCCCTCTGGGGTAGCTAGTGAACTCTGGCAGGCCGGGCCCGTCTCGCTCCGTGTCTGAGCGGCCCCACAAACACGGCACCAATGGGACTGGCCGTGGGCTGCAGTGCTGCACAAATTGCTGTGCCACGGTGCGCAGGGCGTGTGGTGCCCTCTGTACACACCGGGGAGAACGTCACCCTCCCACGCCACCCCCCCGTGTCAGGGACATGCCCCTGAGGACACAGACCTGGGGCCAGGGAGTGGCAGGTCCCCATGAAGTGACTGGAGTCACAGACCTTGGCCAAATCTCCTGCCCCTTTTCCTCCCATCTCACCCAACGGGGAGGAGTTGGCTGGCCTGAGTCACAGGCGGGAGGGGCTAGATCGGCATGAACAGCCCAACCCTTCTGCCCCCTTTGACATCTGGGCTGGACTCTCTGCTGGTGGAAACCCACACGGCTCCGTTCACTCCGGGGCGTCACCCCGACTGACCCGTGTGCAGGGCTGAGGGAGAAACAGCCCCATGAACCCAGCGCAGCCCCCAGGAGTCAGGCCAGGGGGGCGAGAGCAGAATCTGTGCCTGGTGGAGCTGGGGATAGGGCCCTGACGGCCCCAGGGCCCTGCCTGTATTTACCCCTCTCAGGGCCTGGCCCCGGGGGTCTCTGGGCGTCTCCAAAGCGAGGTGAATTTCCGTTAATTGGCGACTCTGCCGAGGGCTCAGCCTGGACCTCGGTGGGGATTCAGGGCTGGTGCCGAGGGGCCTGGAGGGGATTTAAGGCCCAGGCAGAGCCAGGAGGCTGCAGGAAGCGGTGGGAAGCTGTGGGCTCAGCAGCAGTGCGGGGTGAGACGCGGGTGCAGCCCCGGTCAGCGCATTAGGGCTAGTGGGTGGGTCCTATATGAGCTGGGTCAGGCTGGGGAGGACGCTGGATGGAGCCACAGGAGTCCCGGCCAGGGCAGAAGGGAAGAATCCCAGTCAGCTGGAGCCGCCTCTGCCCTTGCAGCCAGTGTAAGGGCCTGCTTTGGTACCGACCCTCTCGCGCTGCCCTCGGTCTCTGCCTGTCAGCCAGGGGTGTTATTTAGAAAACAATCCACCCAGCCTTCCGGCCCCATCTGTGTCTGTGTCACTGACCTGCCTCTCCCACCTGCCTTCACCTCTGTCCCCCCTTCAGCCCTGCTCTGCTGCCTGGGGACACTGCTTAGCAAAATGCCAACCTCCTCCTCATCATCGTCCTTCATCCCATCCCCCCGTAACATTCCCCTCCGGCAAGTCCTGCCCACAGTGATGTCGCTGATCACAGCCAAGCCTATGCCCAGCAATCGGGGGCTGGGAGCCACGGGACCAAACTGTGAGCCCGGGTGTGATGGAAACCATGTTGAGCCAGGGGGGCAGCCTCCCCCCTGCACTGCTAGTTCCAGCTCCTCTGGCTGTGGCTGTTCCTCTTCTCCTTGTGCCCTTTGCGTCTCCCTCCCACCCCACCAGAACCTCACAAATGGTCAGCAGCGTTCACAGAGCTGGGAGCATTTTCCACCATGTTCATGGGTTTGTGGTTCCATCCCCCTCTGTATTCCACACACAAACGTGTGGGGATGGAGGCAGGAGGAAACAGAGCCCTGCCAAACCCACTGATCAGCACACACGGCCATCTCTGCGGAGAGGACGCGAGAGGAGGAGGACACACCACGCACGGGAAATGTTAGCCACATGCCAACAGAAGGCTCTCAGGCATGGCGGGAAAAGAGTCGGGTACAGGCCTGGATAGAATAGAATTAAAAACATTGGAGCAGGTCAGAGCAGAGGAGGAAAAAAAGAACAAACTAGCAAAGATTCAGAAAAGGGCAAGAAAAATGAGAAAGGGTTTGGAACGGGTCCCATACGAAGAGAAATTAAAAAGACTTGGGCTTTTCTGCTTAGAAAAGAGGAGATGAAGGGGGGATAAGATAGAGGTCTGTAAAATCATGACTGGTGTGGAAAAAGTGAATAAGGAACATTTCTTTTCTTATTCCCACAGTATAAGAACTAGGGGTCATCAAATGAAATTAATATGCAGGTAGTGTTAAAAGAAAAAAAAGGAAGTTTATTTTCACTCAGTGCACAATTAACTCCTTGCTAGAACATGCGGTGAAGGTTAGAACTTTAATAGGGTTCAAAAAAGAGCTAGATAGATTTATGGAGGTTAGATTTATGGCCAGGATAGATAGAAGTGGTGTCCCTGGCCTCTGTTTCTCTGGAGGTGAGTGACAGGGGGTGGATCACATGAGGATTCCTCTTGTGACCCCTTCCACTAGGGCATCTGGCATTGGCCACTGTCAGCAAACAGGACACTGGGTTAGATGGATCTTTGGTCTGTTCCAGTGTGGCCGTTTTTATGGTCTTATGTTCTTAACTCGCTGGCTCTATTTCTCTCCCTTACTGCAGGAAATAGACCCAAATGGGGCAGGTCAATCACACGGTGGTGACTCATTTCATCCTCTTAGGGATCCCCAATACCGACGGCCTCCAGAACATCCTCTTCTTCAGCTTCTTAGCGTTCTACCTCTGCACCCTGATGGGCAACTTGCTCATCCTATCAGCCGTCCTCGCAGACCCCCGCCTGCACACCCCCATGTACTTCTTCCTCTCCAACCTCGCTGTGATGGACATTGGATTATCCTCCGTCAGCATCCCCAAATTGCTGGCCAGCCTCTGGTTTCAGAATAAGGTCATCTCACTGGGCGTGTGCATGGCCCAGGTCTTCTTCTTCCACTTCCTGGGCAACACCGAGTGCCTGCTGTACACGGTCATGGCCTACGACCGGTACGTGGCCATCTGCCACCCGCTGCGCTACCTGCTCATCATGAACCGCAGGGTGTGCGCCCTCCTGGCTGCCGGCTGCTGGATCACCAGCTCCTTCCATGCTGCCATCCTTGCCAGCTTGACCTTCACGCTGCCCTACTGTGGGTCCAACGTGGTGGATTATTTCTTCTGCGACATCTTCCCCGTAGCCAAGCTGGCGTGTGCAGACACGTACATCTTGGAGACTGTGACCTTCACCAACACTGGCATGGTCCCCACGACCTGCTTCCTCCTCATCCTTGCGTCCTACATCAGGATCATCTACTCCGTCGTGAAGATGAACTCGGCCGAAGGGCGGCTCAAAGCGACCTCCACTTGCGCATCCCATCTGGCTGTGGTGACGCTGTTCTTCGTGCCCTGCGCCCTGGTCTACACCCAGCCCCAGCTGAACATGGTGATGGTGATGGCTGTGCACATTTTTGGCTCCGTGGTAACACCCATGCTGAACCCGGCCATCTACACCCTGCGCAACAAGGAGGTGAAAGCGGCTTTGAGAAAACTGTGGGGTGGTCAGACACCTGCACGGTGACGTGCGGCAGCTGTGTGAGTAGCATGTGAGTTCTCATGGAAATACCCCCACAAATCCATCTGCTTGGCAGCTCTTGTGCAACCCCCCAACCGCCTCATCACATCTGGGGAGTTCTAGAATTCAGAAAAATATTCCTGGAACTCCCTGCTGTCTCTGAGCTGCTGTAAGAAGAGGTGAAAAGGTACCAGGGCCTGGGCGAGGCTGGGGGCAAATCGTTCATGGCAGGGCTCCTGAGGGCTAGGCAGTGAAGTGAAGGGGTCATCTCTTTGGGGCTTCCTTCCGCACCTGAGACACTTCCTGGAGCTCTGTGCTGAGTTGGCCCCCAAACTGTGGTGAAGGACCCCAGAATGGGAGCTGGCCTCTCAATCGGGAAGCCCGGGGCATTTGCTGCAGGGAAGCTGGTGCCTCCAGTTTGGTACCGGCCAGGTGCAAATGGGTAGGGTGTGGGGAAGTTTCCCGGGGGGGCTGTTCTCATGCAAGCATGTAGGGCAAACACCCCACTCTGCTGCCGAGGCCTGTGACTCGGGGTCTGCGCGTGGCAGAGGGGCTGGCTCTGCAGACAGGGTGTTTCCCAGCTGCGGGGGGCAGTGGAGGGCACCAGCCCACTCTGCCGCTGAGAACGTCACCAGGGAGGAGGATTGCTCAAAGGTGCTGAGACACATGTGGCTCAACCTTGGCTTGCCACAGGCACCAACCCAGGGCACTCTGGAACGGGGCATGACACTGGTGTCTTCAAGCTCCCTGGCTTGTAGAGAAAGCTGCAGGAGGGGACTGCAAGATCACAGTGGGGGATGTGGAAATGTCCACTGGGATGTGGGAAACCCTGCTTACCGCTTGCAGCCCTGGCTCATGAAATGATACACAGGGTGCGTGGGCAGCTGTACCGAGCCTTTTAACAGCTGGAGCAGGTGCCACAGGATGGCCAAAATGTGCCTTTGGGAGATTAAAGGCGAGATGGACGCACCTGCATGGGAGGCTGGGCCTCACTGAGGTCAATGTTCCCATGGTTATTGCAGCTTGTTGCGTATTGCACAATGTGTGCGATGGAAAGTGGGAATTGTTTGCTGGGGGGGACCACTGAGGCACAGCACCCGTCTGCAGACTTTGAGCATCCAGACCCTAGAGCTGTCAGAGGAGCTCAAAGACCTGCTGTCAACATTAGGCAGAGTTTGAAGGGCACTTTGAAAATGAGGGGCACTGAAATAAACCTCGGTAACAGCGGCGTCCTCATATCCCACTCCCCATCCAATGCAGCTCTTGCTCAGGATCATGGCTGTAATGCCTGCCCCTGGCATGGCCTTGACTGGTCTGTGACATTGTTAAACAATAAATAAAAGTTATGCATCTTTCTAACCCCGTGTCTTTCTTCATTAGAAAGCAATGCCTGGGAACACAACACAGCCCCTTCCCCGGCCCGTAATGGGGGTGCAGGCAATGGGTTACAACTCACAGGGGTGGGTAGATCCAGGTATCATAATTCCAGCTCGGAGAAGGGGGAAGTGCATGTGAAATTCCGGACACCCAGAGAAGGAAAAGGAATGTGAGAGTGTAGAGGGGGTTGCTGGGCACACAATTTTGAATTTGCTGGGGGGTGGGACTCAGTGTGCTGCTTCCCGTGGGAATCGTGGGGCTCTCAGTTGGTTCCCCCATGAGCCCAACCACGTGTTTACTTTTTCTGCCTGGCAAAGGCCTGCTATTCCTCGTGGCTCCTCCGTTCCCGGATTTAGCACATCGCAAACCAATCCCTGCCTCTGTTTCCGGGCGTGTCTCCCGATCTGTTGGAACCTCTCTGATGGGATTTAAATTCCACAGGGCTGGGTAGCTGGGCACCTGTCTGTGCAGGTGCTCGGGATCTTGGGCCATGTCCTGGAGGCCAGGATCAGCCACAAAACTCCTTGAGGTGTCCACTCTGCAGTTTGTCAACAACACAGGGAGGGGAAAGACCAAAAATTCCTCATGGAGCTGGAAGTTCCTTTGTCGATGAAAATGGCTGTTTTTCCCCACCGAAGTTGCATTGCGGTGCACTTTTCCTTGACAGAACTTGCCAGTTTAGGCAAACCTGGAGAAATGATAGAGCCAGCCAGAGAGAAAGAGAGAGAGGGGGCGAGATCACAACAGATATAAGAGATGGGTAGCCAACCTGTATCCAAAATACACCTATTATTGGGGTGTGGACAGTATCTCTATGTGGAGTCTTTGGGTGGGTGTTTGTGGCCTCTGTGTTGTGTGGAGCGGTTTGCGTGGGTGTGAAACAGGACAGACGGGCTGGTGGGCAGGTGTCAGAGGCAGAGAGGACAGAGTGCGGCTGACAGAGGCAAGGGAAGCAGGAGGTCTGAGTGTGGAGCGAGCGAGAGGTCTCACCCTGCGGGCTGTGGGAGGAGGTGGATGAAGGTTTCATCCCACCATGAGGACGCTCTCAGTCCTTCTGTCCATCCTTGGTCAGTGGGAGTCGCAAGCCCTTTCCCTGGGGTCCCAGCCTGGCTTTGAACGTTGTGTCCCCAGGCAGTGACGGGTTCTCCCTCGCTCACTTTCTGCTTCTCTAGCTCCAGTGGCTCCAAGATGGGTTCCAGCCCCCCAGGTCACACTCGTGGTCCACACATGCGTCCTAGGGCTGGGGTACGAAGGCTCCTTCGCCACTGGAGAACTCACTGTGGCTGTGGCTAAGGTCATGCTGCACCCCCCTCACTCGCGAGAGAGCCAGGCTGAGTGAGGTCAGCACCTATCCCTGCGCCGTGAGAGACATAGCGAGGGGAACCCAGGGGCCAGCTGCACAGACCCCCACAGCCTGGCTGTGCGGAGCCCCATCAGGTGAGCTGCCCCATTGACTGCCATGGAGCCAGGATGGATTTTCCCTCCCGCTTGAGGTCTGCCCCATTAGTTCCACTGAGGCTACACCCCTCTACACCGGCCAAGAGTGGCCCCCACACATCCACACAAAGATGGGCCAGTACTTCCAGGCTCACCCCGACTACGGGGAACAGTTCAACATGGGGCCCCCTCAACGGATGTCTGGGCTTTTTGGAATTGTGGAAAGACTTTTAGGCAGGAATTTTCAGAGGAGCCAAAGGAAGTGAGACGCCTAACTTAATAGGGTTTACTTTGCCAGCCGCACCTTGCTCTCCTCCTTTGTCTCTGTTACCAGCTCCCGCCTCTAGGGGGCGGCAGTGCCTCAATGAGAATCCTGCTTCTCTGCCTTCCCTGCAAGGAGCCATTCCAGGGTCTAGCATCTGCCCTGATGGGGGAGGGGATTAGCTCCCCTGATTGCTGTTCGTCCCATGGCTGCCCCCGCCGGGTTTCTGCCTCCTTCCTCTCATGCCGGGGGCTCCGATCCCGGATACTAACTGGAAAACAGCCGAGGCAAATGCTGCTTAATTGCTCCCTCTGCTCAGGCCTCAGACACGGGGGGGAGCAGCCCAAGGGCTCAGCTCCCCAGGGCCGGGCCCTAGAGCGGCATAAATGCTCCTGCAGCCTGAGCTCTCAAACACTTCTGGGGTCCCCGCGGCGGCTGGGTCCTGCTGCGCGGTCACTACGCAGGTCTGGAGCATCAGCCCCTCAGTGAGAGACCCTCACCACAACCCCACGGCAGGAGCCGCGCTCACATCGCGGGCGGCTTGGGCTGAGCCGAGCTGGATCCCGGTTTGCGCTTGGAGCAAACGTGGGACAAAGAGCGAGCGGCCCCCTGTGCCCGGTGACTGGTGACTCGCCCCCGAGACACAAAGCGTAAGCTGCTGGCGCGTCCGTGTTCCTTCCCGCCTTCGCTCTGGCTCCGGGGCTTGTTCACTCTGCCCGTCTCTCCAAGCATCCGGGGAGATCGGGGTGGGTCCCCTGCTGGGACAGTCGGTGTCTCACTCGGTCAGTGCCCAGCCGGAGCCCTGATGGCTTCTTGGTCTCTCCCACCCCCTGCCTGAGGTCACACAAGCCAGGGAGCAGACTGAAGTGCTTTGGCTCCAGTGAAATCCCTCAGCTCCAGGAAGGCTCAGCTAAAGAGACTGTCCTCAGCCCCCCAGTGCCCAGCCCCTAAGAGACCAGAACCCTCGATAGCTCCATCTTAAAGGTGGGACACATGCCCACATGCCCCCTCTTCCTCAGCGGGAAGGGTGAGAGTCCCAGACCCCTCCTCGCCGCGGAATAATCCCTGTCACTGGCTTTACTCCGAAAAAAAAGGGACTTTATTGTGGCTGAAGGGTGGGATTTGAATGGCCGTAAGAGAACAAAGTCGGCTACTTCACAAAACAAACTGGGATGTTCAAACTAAGCTCGGTACATTAAGAAACTGGCTCCTTATAATTTCTCCCCCTCAGAGTTGTGCTAATCAGCTTCTGTCACAGCCAGAAACGTCTCCCAGTCTGAGTTCAGTCCTCCTCTGCCCCCGTTTCCCAGCAGGCATCTTGGGTGGGGCAGCCAGGGAGAGCTGATGAGCGAGATGACCTCACTGCCCACCCCCACAGGGTTCAGGTGAGGCAGGAAGACTTTCTTTTCAGTTTGGCCCCCTCCCAGCTACTCCTGGGAAAGTGCAGGATTCCAGCTGAGGTGCTATGGTCACATGTCTCTGCAAGAGCCCTACCCCCACATCCACTGGAAGGCTCAACTCCAGTGCCTCTTTGCTAATGCATCATTATAGCCTTGGGTTCCATTGACGGCCTCCCTGAGCTTCAGAGTATCAGTAACATTCACGGTAGCTCCACATTCCTAACTCGGCCCATAGTGATCCATGCGTACAAACGGGAGCGTCATATCCAGTAGCTCAGTGCAAGGTTTCCAGGCATTTCACACAAGCCAGATTCCAGTTATGTCATATTCATGGTCACGAGCCTGTTTTCGAAGGTCTATGGGGTGCCCCCATCACAATCGTGTGCCAGCATTTTGGAGGGTTTAGTTCTGCTTTGCACACTCATCTGGAGGCACCCAGGCATCAGGGAAGTTCATGATCCAAATCATGATCGTTTGCTTGGCTTTCAGGAATTTTTCTTTGGCTCCTCAAGACTATGATGGTGGCTGAGCCATAAGAACTGAGTAGAATAGAATCGAGTAAAATCAACCAAACCCTAGAGTCCTGCCTTTTCACTCGTCGCCACCCAACATCTCCTGGCTAAGAAGATTCACCACTCGCCATTAAAGCTTGTGGGGTGCAAAGGGATAACTAAACCCGAAGTATTGAGTTTGCTAATGTAGCTGCATAATCTCTGTGCCTCCAGGAACGACGCCTCTTGCGTGGAAATGGCGAATCGCACTGTGGTGTCCGAGTTCATCCTCTTAGGAATCCCCAACACCGAAGGCCTTGAGAACATCCTATTTGTCACCTTCTTATCTATTTACCTCTGCACCCTACTGGGAAATCTACTGATTTTAGCAGCCATCCTCACCGACCCCCGCCTGCACACCCCCATGTACTTCTTCCTCTGCAACCTCGCCGTCTTGGATCTTGGGTTCTCTTCCATCAGCACCCCGAAATTTCTGGCCATCCTCTGGGCCGAAAGTAAAACCATCACTCTGGGCGGGTGCATGTCTCAGGTCTTCTTCTACCACTTTCTAGGCAGCACTGAGTGCCTGCTCTACACCGTCATGGCCTACGACCGGTACGTGGCCATCTGCCACCCGCTGCGCTACCTGCTCATCATGAACTGGAGGGTGTGCGCCCTCCTGGGTGCTGGTTGCTGGATCACCAGCTCCTTTCATGCCACCATCCTCACCACCCTGACCTTCATGCTGCCCTACTGCGGGTCCAACGTGCTGGACTATTTCTTCTGTGACATCTTCCCCGTGATCAAACTGGCCTGTGCGGACACATCCATCATCAAGACGGTGAGCTTCACCAACATTGGGGTGGTGCCCATGACCTGCTTCACCCTCATCCTCGCCTCCTATGTCCGGATCGCGGCCTCCGTGGTGAGGATGCGCAGGATGGAGTACGGCCGGAAAGCCATCTCCACCTGCGCCTCGCACATGATAGTGGTGTGCTTCTTCTTCGGGCCCAGTACCCTCCTCTACACCCAGCCCTCCCTGAGCAACCTGGTGGCCACCCCCATCCATATCTTTTGTGAGGTACTCACCCCCATGCTGAACCCGCTGGTCTACACACTGCGGAATAAGGAAGTCAAGGCAGCGTTCCGGAAAATGAGGGGTGGCTAAAGCCAGCCGAGCAAATACCAGGAGCGCTAGAGGAATGTTTCCTCCTCTCCTTCCTTATGGGACAAAATGCATGCGGCAGGGATGGGGAGACTCTGCAAGGCACAGTGGGCGGGAGCTGGGAACACAATTCACCAATTGCCTTTAGAAAGTTCTCTCTGTGTTCCCCACTGGTGGGACTCCACTGAAATCCCCTTCAGGCTTTGGCTCATCCTGCAGAGACATGTCTCTGAACCCTCTCCACTTCATCATTTATTTACTTGTGCTTGGCCCTGGTCTGGGCAGGGGGCTGGACTCAATTTCTCTCCCAGCCCAGTCCATGATCATCACCTGCCGGGAACTGGGATCCACAGACCCAGCACTGTTCCTTGTTCCTGCTCGAGATTCCTCATCTGTGCACCCCAGGGCTGCAGTTCTTCCACCCCGGTATCGCGCTGGGAGCTCATATTCAACAGACTCTCCACCATGAGAATTAAATATTTGCAGAGCCCCTGACCCCCAGGAAAGCGTTCATGGTCCTATGGGCACAGGCCAGGCTCCTCCTTCCGAGAGGCGCTTGCTGATGCTTCGCTGTATTACTAGGCACATCGCTGGAGAGTGCTCCTTAGCTAGCGATCCAGCCCCAGGGCATGGAGAAGGACGGAGAAGTTATTCTGGGGTCAGAGGAGAATGGGAGTCACGGCGTTCTCCCGTGGCAGGAAGGAGCACGCTGCTCTTATCCGAGGGTTAGGACTAGGGAAGAGCTCAAAGCAATAGGGCAGTTGGATTACGTTGGGGTTCAGGTGAGGCATGAAGTCAAGACACTTGGCAGGGCTGGGATGAAGCAGGAGGGGAATAGATTTATGACAGGCTTTATGAGGGTGAATTAGGAAGTTAGGGAGACTGACATAATCATTTGGGGCTCCATTCCCCTCCGGCAACACTGTGGTAACAAGCCTTCGTTTTTCCTATCCACGGCTCTGGGAGCAATTCGGGGCCGAGGCTGCCTCTAGCCATGTGGGTGCAGCCCCCTTGTGACTGGGCTCCCACCTGGCCGTGCAACAGAAATACTAATGCCTGGCCCAGGACTGTCCCAGTCTCCTCCGATGTGGGATTGAACCTTGTAACTTGCAATAAAAAAAATAATAAAATAACAAAGTGAAAGGCAACTGCAGTAGGTGCCGTGAACCAGGCACCAGACCTGGTCTCTGGGGAACAGGGCAAGTGAGCCCAGCCTCCCGCACTAGAACAAGCCCGGCCCATGAGGCTAGAGTGCCCCCTGCTGGAGCCTCATGTTCTGTGTTTCAGTGCCCCCTGGTGTGCTGCCTGTCCCACTCCCTGCACTGTAGTGCCCCCTGCTCGGCTTCTTGCCCCACCCCCTCTGCGAGGTTTCCTGCCCTGCTGCAGTGCCCCCTGCTGGATTGCCTGCCCCACTCCCTGCTCTGGAGTGCCTCCTGCTGGGCTGCCTGTCCCACTCATTGTGCTGCAGCGCCCCCTACTGCGCTGCCTGTCCCACTCCCTGCGCTGCAGTGTCCCCTGGGCTCTGCTGAGGGACCTAGAGTCTGCTCAGTAGTGTCTTTGCACTGGACCAAGAAGCTAGTTTCTAAAGAGCAACAACCCCAGACCCTGGTACCTGGGAAAAGCAACCTGGGAGAGGTTTGTAAAACCAAAACTGCGAATATGGATAGTAAAACATTTCGTAGCGTCTGCTGGACAATGGGAACCTGTACCCCCCTCCCCTTGCCCTAGCTCCCAGGCACTGGGCAGCCATAGAGGGAGATGCAGGGAGAGCTGGGGGCTGCTGTATTTAGTAACTGAGAACCGTGTCAGCTCAAAACAGCTCCATGGGAATTACGTGCAACCCGTTGTCTAGTGGCCAAGGGACACGGGAGATCTGGGAGGTGCAGAGGGTCTGTAGAAGACGCCCAGTGTGACCCTCATGGCTTTGTGCTGCAGTTTCTCCATCTGTGATAAGTGGAGAGTTAAACCCTGTGTCACTCTGAGCTGTGGAACGTGCGGGAACCGTCTCTCACTAGGGCTCTGGGCTGGGTGCAGCATGAAGGGGCCCACGTCCCAGGCCCCCATCTCAGGTCACACCACAAGACCCATTGATGTAAATTCAAAGAGCCAAGTGCCGCTGCAGCTCTGGGGTGTGGTGGGGCACAGAGAACTCTGCTGCTGCAAACCCGGAGTCACTGCTGCGCCTGGCCCCAGCGCAGCAAGACAGCCCGGCCTGGGGACCATCCTCTCACTGAACCCCAATGGCCCTGGCACCCTGTGGGTGCTGGGCCTGGGCTGGGGAGAGGAGCGTAACAGAGAGTAATAATCACGGCTTCCCCCTACTGGAGGCCTGGCCCGCTCCCCACTGTAGGCCTGGCCCTCTCTCCCCCGTGCTCTGCTCTCCACAAGGGAACGTCCCCCCCGGGCCAGCCACTACCAGCCCCAGAGCGCAGGTGCCTCGGGGTGCCAGCAAGGCCTGTGCCCACCCCACTCGGCAGGGAGGGGGCAGCTTTGGTTCAGCTGAACCAGCTCCAGTGCCCTGAAGGACTTTCCCTGAGCTCAGACTGTGCCGAGGGGAGGGGGAGAAGAGGCCCGAGGCCCAGCAAGGGAGGAAGTGACGCTGAGCCCAGTGACAAGAGGGGGTGCAGATGAGCCCCCTGCCTGGGTGTGGGGGTGAGACAGCGAAGGCGACGGGCCGGCTCTGTCTCGCTCTGTGTCCAGTCGGCCCCCAGGCCAGCGGTGCCAGGATCTGCTGGGTGATGCTGGGGGCTGCTGTCCTGTCCAAAGAGACACTGTTCTCTGCTCGGCATCCCGCTGTCCTGCACAAGAGCGGCGCCGTGGTGCACGGGACGGAAGGTGCCTTGGTGTGCACAGCAAGGAATGTCCCACCCCCCCCCACACACACTGCAGGAACACGGCCCTGTGCGCATGGTGCGTGTGGGGGGGGGACCCCAGGACACACCCCCAGGAGAAAGCTCGGCTGGACTCAGGCCTCCCGCCCAACCTCCAGCCCAGCTCTCTGCTATTTCACCCCACAGGGGACTCTCTGGCGTGTGCCACGGGGCAGCAGAGCCCAGACGAGCATCAATGTCCCAACCTCCCTAACAGCGCAGGCGCAGATTATGAACTGATGAAAACTGACACGGTCCTTTGCATGCAGGGGCGTTACTCCCGACTGACCCTGTGAGCAGGGCTGAGAGAGGGAACAGACCCATGGACCCCGCAGAGGTAACATAAGGGTCCCCGGTGGAGCTGGGGATCCTGCCAGCCCCATGGCTCTGCCCATATTAACCCATCTCGGGGCCTGGCCCTGGGGGTCTCCAGGCATCTCCAAAGTGAGGCCGAAGCTCCCTTAATTGGCAACTCCGCCGAGGGCTCAGCCCAGAGCCTGACGGGGATTCAGGGCTGGTCCCGAGGGGCCCAGAGGGGATTTAAGGCCCAGGCAGAGCCGGGAGGCTGCGGGAAGCTGTGAGAATCTGTGGGCTCAGCAGCAGCGTGGGGCGAACGTGGGGGCAGCCCTGGCCAGCTTGGCAGCGCATTAGGGCACCCAGGTGGGTTCCAGGCACCCTGGTTGGGTCCTTCTCCCGGGCACTGGGCCAGGCTGGGGAGGACGCTGGATGGGGCCACAGGAGTCCTGGCCGGGGCAGAAGGGAAGAATCCCAGTCAGCTGGAGCCGTCTCTGCCCATGCAGCCAGTGTAAGGCGCCTGATTTGGTACCGACTTTCTCACTCTGCCTTCAGTCTCTGGAACGCCATAAAAAAAGGAATAAGGGATCTTTCGGAAAAGGCTTTATTTTCCAAAAGATCCACGTCTAGACTGGTGCTTTTTTCCAGCAAAGCTCCGAGCTGAAAAAAAGCAGCAGCCATGTTTATGCAAATGAAGCAGGAGGGATTTAAATCCCCACTTCATTTGCAATTGCGATGTGTGTTATTTGCATCCCTTTTATGGAAAAGGGATGCAGTCTAGACACAGCCTTACTGTTCTCCATAAACTATGACAGAAGTGTAGCGCACACAATATTTAACTGCAGGGTACAGTATGCAGTACTTGACACATAAAAAAACTACAATGAACCCTTCTCTCATTGCTATGCTGGATAATGACACCACTGTCTGATAAAATTCTTAAAATATCCGCTATTGTCTTCTAGCCGTGAGGGAATCGCTGATAAAGCCAGCACTCCCCATGGCTACTAAGAGGGAGCCAATGCCATTAAGACAGGGGTCTCCAACCTTTGTAAGCACGAGATCACTTTTTGAATTAAGAGCAGTCCAAGATCTACCTCAGAGCCAAATCCCCTGGCCCCGCCTCCTTTGTGCCCCTTCTCCGAGGCCCCGCCCCTGCTCATTCCATCCTCCCTACCTCCCCCGTCCTCCCTCCCTTCCACCCGGCAGGGGCAGCGGGTTGGGTGCAGGCTCTGGTCTTGGGCTAAGGGATTTGGAGTGCGAGAGGGGCTCTGAGCTGAGCTTGGGGCAGGCAGTTGGGGTGCTCGAGGGAGTTCTAGGTGCAGGCTCTGGGAGGGAGTTTGGATGCAGGGGTGCTCAGGGTTAGGGGTACAGGAGGGGTTTACGATTGGGGTAGGGTTTCAAGATGTGGGCTCTGACTGGCCACTGCTTACCTCAGGTGGCTCCCGGGTGGGGGTGCAGTGGGGCTAAGGCAGGCTCGCCCCTGGTCACAAAAGCAGCCAACAAACCCCATCCCAAGTCCTGTTGTGCCCCCTCTCTGCTCTGTGGAGATAGGATACAGGCTGGGAGAGGGGCACCTTGACATCAGCGCCCCTCTTCTCCCTGCCCTGACCTACACAGCGAGCAGGGGACTCCCACGGGTGGGGGGAGGCAGCTCCAAGGCAAAGGGCAGGAGATGCGCAACAGTAGTGGGGGGGCAGCTGAAGTGCCAGGACTTGACAGCCTCTTGGCCAAACCAGTCAGGATCCCCTGTCAGAGGCTCCAAGATCTACGCGTAGATCCTGAGCTCTGGTAGGTGACCACTGACTTAAGAGAGACAATAACTGGAGGTTCTGGGATTTGCCATTGAGCTCTCCTATCACCTCACATACTTTAGTGAAGATGGTCACTGCCACATCCTCTCCTGTATACATCTCATTCTTTCCAATACAGGCAGTCCCCGACTTACGTGGATCCGACTTACGTCGGATCCCTAGATACGAACGGGGTGAGGCAACTCCCGCACATGCGCAGCAGCATTCCCGGGGCTCGCTCACCTGGGTCCTAGGATCCTCCTCCTCCTCGGGCCGGCTCCGACTGGGGTCCCGCAGAGCTGCCGGGCAGAGGAAAAGTGCCTCCCCACGCCCGCTG